CCCCCCCCACCCTCTGCATGCCTGTCTCCTCCCTGCCCCTCTGGCGCCCCCCCCCCACCCTCTGCATGCCTGTCTCCTCCCTGCCCCTCTGGCCCTCGGCCTCCAATGCCTGAGATGCTGCCTAGCGTGAACTCCCCCCCCCCCCATGTTCAGTCCAGGTCTTACCTCATAATCTGGATTTGGGACAGGCGGGGGATGGTCTGCTTGCTGTCCTGGAAAAGCAAAGTGCAAAGTTCCTTCCCCCTGCCATTCTCCGGCTCAGCGCTTCACGCACGCACTCACGCGCACACACACACACAGACAGTCCTTTTCTCCTGCTGTGATCGCCGGGACTTGCAAAATCATCTGTCCCCATTGTTGCCGTCAGCGTCCTTGGAGTCTTCCTCCACTGCGGGAGGGGAGTGGGGAGTGCCGGAGGACTTAACTGAGGGCAGCCCACCCCTCACCCCTCGGACTCCTCCGGCCCGCAAAGCCCAGTGCTTAAAATCTGCGGTTGGGGTGGGGGGGTGGGGGAGGAGAGAGAGGCACTCACCCTGCAGCCGCTGCCTTCGTGGGGCACCTGGCCTGAAGAGGCCCGGCTGCTTCTGGCTGCAGAAGTAGACTAGGAGCAGGACTCCCAGGGTGAGCAGGAGGTCAGCCACGATGATGCCGGCCCCCAGGCCCAGGCTCAGCTCCACACAGTCCTTGCACCCTGCAGGAAACCCAGAAGCCTCAGCTGGACAGGGAGCTCTGCCCGCCTGGCTTTGGAGGAAGGCTCTGCCCTGCCTGCCTGCTTGGGACTAGAGGTCTGGGGTGGGATTGGCCCCCAGGCAGCTCAAACTGCAGAGCAGCCTCCCAGCCCCCCCCCCCGCCTCTTCCCCATCAAGGGCAGAGATGCCCCATCACACCACAGACTGACCTTTGACCTTCAGATAAATCCTCCAGGATTTGCTCTTCTTTTCTCCACAGGAAAATTCTTTCCCCCTTTCGATCTCAAGCAGATCGTCTGGGGCAGAGATGTCCAGGATGCGGCTTGTTCCTAGGTCGGATTTCTTGTCCCACCACTCGGATTTCTCTTCTGGGCATGTGAGAAACACCTTCCCCGAAGCGATTTCCACTGTGATTTCTATGGCAAGTGAGAAAGAATCTGCCTGGCAGCTCTGGGTGCAAACGCTGCTGGATAACCCAGCAGGATCTCACTTGGCAGGTTTCCCCTCGGAGAGACCATGGGATCCCCATCCCCCCCCCACCCCCAAATGAACATCTCCCTCCCTTCTTCCCAGCTGAGGCTTGTGGCTTTTTTATTTGCCCCACCTGCGTGTTCGGAGAGGGGTCTGGCCTGCTTCCTGGAAGCGTGTCTGTTTTTTGCTACAGGGGTTGGTCACTGGGAGTTTAAAATGATAACTTACAGTAGTTTAGCTTCGAACAGATGGTGCTATTCTTAAGTCTGCAACCATCTCCAAATGCTTTCCTGGATTGTCATTAACCCGAGGAAATGATGCGGAACACACCGGCTGCACGGCATGTTCTCAGCAGCCTCCATTTCCCTTCCCTGGGGGAGCCAGAACAGGAGCTGGGCCTATTTGGAGCCTCCCGTTAACCCTGGTGGCAAAGGAAGATGCCTCCTCTTTTCAGCCAACAGTCACAAACCCACCCAGGTAAATGCACCACAGCTGGTTTGGGGCAAAGGTGCCCGGGTCAGTTTCTGATGGCTGCATGGACAGAATGCTCCCTTTCGGACTTGTCTCCAGCCAAACCCCGAAGTCCCAAAGACCCTCCCTCCCTCCCCCCCTCCCTTACCTTTAATCTCTCCTGCCTCAAGGCTGGCTGTGAAAAGAAGAGGGGAAAAACGGTAAAGACTTTCTCACCGGCACATAGCTGCCATTGGGCCCAGAATAAAGCTGCTTAAGAGCCATTTCTTTTATGAAGCCTGAGCAAAGAAGCTGGAGAAGAAGGCGGCCGTAGACCCGGTTGCTCTCCCCAGAGCCCCTGAAACGGAGGGGCTGCCCCATCCAATTGGCGGCCCCCAAGTCAGAGGCTTGTGGCAAATATTCTGAAAAGCTTTCTGGCGCTCCTCCTGGTTGCCACAGCAGCCGTACCCAGGAAAAGGCAGTGGGGAAACGGGTGGGCGTTGGTTTTCTTGCCGGGGCCTCTGGTGTTTACACCATGGAACCTTCCAGAAGCTTCCTTTGCCGGGTGCGATGGCTCCTATGCCAAAGTAGGTCCCCCGTGGACCTTTTCGTGAAGAGGAGCGTCTCCTCCCTTGTCTCTGCTCCATAAAGCAGCGAGAGACCCTCCCTCCCACCCAATGGGGCTTCTGCCTCCCTTGATCCCTTCGCCAGGGCCCTTCTGAGGAAAGGGACCCCCTTAGCTGGAAAGAGAGGGGCTCTCCTCTCCTCCACAACTCCGCCTTATAGCACACAGCACCCTGGGATCTGCCCCAGGCACCCAGAGATTTCAGGTAGTCTTTGAGTTACAACCATTTGTTTAACAACTGTTTGAAGTTATGACGGGGCTGGCTGAAAACAGTTATTTACAACCAGTCCTCGCACTTATGACCCCCACAGCATCCTCACAATTACACGATTGTCGTTTGAAACTTTCCCAGAGGGCTTCAACAAGTAAAGTCAAGGGGGGAAACTGGATTTGCTTAACAATTGCATGATTTGTTTCACGACTGCAGCCAAAAAGGTCATAAAATTCAATGTGAGTCACTTAGTGACCGTTTTGCTTAGCAACAAAAGTTCTAGTCCGAATTGTGACTGTAAACTGAGGATTACCTGCATTAGGGGGAGGGGAGAAAATGATTGACCACCCGGTCTGAAAAACAAAATTTGGGTGGAAAACGTTTAGATGGGAAATGATTTGTAATTTCTAGAAAATATTCTCCTTTGCCCAACACATCGACAGCTAACTGCAGGGAATCTCTTCTAGGGGATCTGGTCCTTCAGGCCAATCCGTTGCCTGGAAGTGGAGACAGGCGTCCTGGGGAGCAGACGTGGGGCCTGAAGTTTTGGGAAAGGCCGCCGTGCGCACAAACAGGGCCGCTGCCTCCCTTACAACCTGTAGCTGGGCCCCCAGGGGAACTTGATCCGCAAGACCAGAAGCCAGGCGGAATGGTTGCTGGAAGGAGGAGCAGCCCAGATGGGGCCCCAGGCCAGCCCTCCTTGGAGAAGTGGCACTCACCTGTGTGGAACAGGAGGAGCACCAAGGCGCCCAAATGGAGCGCCAGAGGCATCTTCCTGCCCTCCGCGGCTTCCCCGCTGGTGCTTTGAGGGGTCTCCCAGGCGAGTCTGCTGCGTCTCTCTTCAGGAGGGCTCAGGGAACAGAGCTGAGCAGTCGGTAAAGAAAGAGAAAGAGCCTTGCCAGGAAGTGGCAGCTCCGGCAAAGCAGGAGGAGCGAGCCACCGAGGCTCAGTGAAGGCACGGATGGAGCTGGGGCCGCTCAGCCGCACCCCCTGCAGGAGGTTTCAATTGGGAACTCGGGGGCCTCTTCCAGCAATATGGAAGAAGCAGTCACAGGCTGCGGGGGGGGGGGGCGACCTAAAAGGCCCTCACTCAGCCCACCTACCTCTTCAATTCCCCCACCCCCACACTCCAGCCCTTAACTACAGCCAGATGTCTCTGCAGGAAACAGCTTCTGGCCCACCAGAGGCCCAGCTGGGAACTGTAGCAGGTTGGTCCAGCTGGTGCTTTTGGGGGTGGGGGGCTCAACAGTCCAAGGGAGAAGGCTGGATCACAATCTAAAATTCATGATGGAAGAAAGCGACAGCAAACTCCTTCCAAACATCTGGCTGCCAAGGAAATTGGTTGATATTTTCAGGAGCCCCCAGTTTGAGTTCCTCTGGTCATCACAGCTGGCAACCCCTCCCTGACCAACATCCACTCCTCTACCACCCCAGAAGGTGCGGCAGAGATGCCCTATGGCAAGCAGGCACAGCAGAGACCATGGTGCCTCCCTGGGATCGCCATCTGGCCCTGCCAGGCCTTGGCCAGAGACCCTCCTCTGCTGAGTTTTGGGCTGGCACCGGCCTGAGCTCAGCCTGATGGCATCAGATCCTCTTTTCAGGTAGAGGGAGCCTTCTGGGCAGGTGCAGTCAGCTCCTGTAGCACCACAGTCGCCATAACTGCTTCTCAGGAAGATGTTTAAGAGATACTTTCATCTTTAGGTTGCCGTTTGGAGGTGCCAGAGGGGTAGTGCCGAAAACAAACCCAGCAAACAAAATGGAGGCTGCCCCCTTTTCCCACCCCGTCCTCTCTCTGCCCAATCCCTTCAGACACACACACACACACACACACACACACACACACACACACGGCCTCAGGCAAGGCCCTCCACAAGCCGGTCTTAAACCAACCGGGTGAAGAAGCCCAAACTTCTCCTTCCTAAATGGCTTTCCAGCTCCACTGGCCCTGGGGAGGGCTCCTTTTGCCCAAGGACAAGAAGGTAGCCCAGATGGCCAGCCATTCTGAAGACTCTGAAGACTTCCCGCCTTGTAGCCCCAACCTCTATAAAAATAATCCTGGCTGCCCCATAGTTTGGGGCCCCTCTTTCTTGTAATGCAGACACTCAGCAATCCTTGCAATAAAGACAGTTCTTCTCCCTGGGGGTCTGCTCCTTCAGCACTGTTCCACAACAGTTTAGATTTTGAATTGTATACACTTGCTTTGTTATTTTTATTCTGTGTTTTGTGTTGCTCTGTGTTAAGTGTCCCCGGGAGATGAAATTATAAACCAATCAATGTTATTTTTCTGTGGAAAGGAATAATAGGCTGCAGCCGGCCCTGATGCTGCCAGGGATGCACCCAGCCAGCTGGGCCTGGGAGCCCAGGGACTGCCCCCTAGGACTGCCCTTCCGGTCTGCTATGCTGGGCTCCTTCCTGTGCTCCCCAGAGCGGGAGGGCAGATTCTCCACTACTGCCCTTCTTATCCAAGGGATGGTTTGGATGACTGACGGGTCCTTCTCTTTCCTGGTAAGGAATAAGAATTCTTTACATTGGGGGCAGACTGGTCAAAAACAACGAATAGCAGTACTACATTACATTATATTGTAAGACGTCCAGTTACCCTGTGGTCAGTTGGGCAGCCAAAAAATGATGGAAAGAGGGAGGGAGGGAGGGAGAGAGAGAGAATGTGAAGTGGGGCCGGGGGAGCAGAATGGTGGCACCTGGGAAGTTAATCCCCTGGCTCTTAATTCTGGCAAAAAGATGGAAAGGATGGTGGTTCTCTCTCCCCCCAGGATAGCTGGAGATACCAGGGTGGGGAAAGGCCCAGCAAGTCCCCCTTCCCTGCGGAGGAGGCTGCTGCTGCTGCTGATGTCCTGGGCCAGGCTTGCCACTACCTTTTGTGGGTGGTGAGGATCTTGGCAAGAACGTATATTTACCGACAAAGAAATAAAGGGAGACTTGCAGTATAGATCAATTGTCAGCTCTCCACGCCCTTTCCGGGAAGCAGGGAAGCGGAATGCTCGGTCCCATATTTGGGGAGACCGGGGTGGCCTGATAAAAACAACACTCGATCTTGGCAAGAATCTCCTTTTATTTCCACGGGATTTCCGCAACCCCCGAGACAGGGACAGGAAAGAGCGCGGGCCACGGCTCCTAGGAGAGGCCGTCTCCGCCTCGCTCCGGTGCACGGGAGCCACGGGCCAGCCGGGTCAGGGAGGAGCGGTCGGTGGCGCCCGGCACCGCCCCGGGAGGCACCAGCAGTCGGCCCTCACCTGGAGGGGGCCGGGCGAGGCCTTTCTGGGGCGTCCCGTGGGAGGCTCCCACTCCGTGCGGGGCGCGCCCGACTCATTCCAGCTTTGGCAGCGTTTCGGCGGAGCGGCTGGCCGGATCCCGCAGAAGCAGGCGCTCATGGCCCCCCTAGCATCGCGGCGCGCCGGACCCGCGGCCGCCTGGCGCTTCTTTCTGCTCGGTAAGACAAGCCTGGCCGCCCCGAGTGGCGATGGGCAGCACGGGTTCACCGCGGCGGAGCCCTTGCCGGGCCGCCTCGCGACGGACCCCGATCCTGGCCCCGTGGAAGGCAGAAGCGCGGCCTGCGCTGTTCCGGAGTCGCCGCCTGGGGGCCGGCCCTGCAGCGGTTGCGGACCCCGGCCCGGCCGCCACGCCCAGGATTGCCGGCGGCGGCGGCGGCGGCGTCACCTGGCCGACGAGTTCCTGCACGTCGGAGCAGCGACCTGTTCAGCAGCCGCAGCACCCTTCCCTGCTGCGGAATTCGGGCTGGCTCTCTCGACGCAGATTGGGCAGCGCCCTCCTCCAGGGAGCGCCGCCGCTCCGCGCTTCCTTCTGCAGGGGGCGTCGGGGCCCTGCAGCGGCAACCCCTTTCTGCTTCTTTCTGCAGCGCTCGGGCCGGTGGCGGCTATGGAGACGTTCACGCCTGGCACCCTGGAAGCCTTGAACGGGACCGACGTGCGCTTGAAGTGCACCTTCCGCAGTCCAGAGCCGGTGGGGCCGAAGCTGGCGGTTTCCTGGTACTTCCAGTCCGAGCCGAAGGAGCCCCTGGAGATGGTCCGTCCCCTTGCGTTGTGGTGCGGTGGGGCAGAGGGGCCGCTAAGGGTCAGCGGGTGGGCTGGGGGCTCAGCTCCGAGGCCCCTGGGGAGAAAGGACAGCGTCGTCCCCCCCTCCTTTGAAGCCTTTGGCAGAGTGCCCTGTGCTTCCAGGGCCAACCGCAAGGGTAGAGCTCTTGGCTCAGGCAGGATTCAGCTCGGCAGGCAGAGTTCCCAGAAGGGATTCAGGGCCCCTTTGCTGGAGCCTCGGCCCAGTCTCACCTGCCCACTCAAGCAGAGGTAGCTGCCACGGAGCGGAAAGTTTGGAGTGCCCCCAAGCCTCAGGCACACTTCTCTTCCAGATAAGCTCTGGGGAAGCTTCCCCGGTTGAGGGCCTTCTCCTGGCTTCTAGGCATCCCCCCCCCCTCTTCTCTGCAGCAAGTTCTCCATCCTAGCCTTGGGCAGGCTCCTTCCCTCCCCCCCCCCCCGGGGGGCTCACCAGTGTCCTTTCGCAAAGCAGTGAGAGAAGGGATCTGAGAAATTCCCTGGACTGGAGTGCAGGATATGCTGCTAAGGGAGGACCAGGAGCTGCCTAACGCCACCGCTGGTGCTCTCTTGGCTGTGCCCAGGTGCTCTTCTACAATCAGCAGGCTTACCCCTCCAACTCAGCCCGCTTCTTAGGCAGAATCACCTGGGATGGCAATGTACACAGAGACGACGCTTCGGTTATGCTCCACAATGTGAGCACCAAGGACAACGGGACTTTCCAGTGCCATGTGAAGAACCCACCTGATGTGGATGGTGTCGTTGGCGAGATCCAGCTGAGTGTTGTGCTGAAAAGTTAGTGGGCTGGGTGGGCTGCAGGGGGCTGGGATTGCTCCGCTTGTGTTTCTCTTCCTCACCTGCCGTCCTGTTGTCTCTGGATAGGGAGCTTCTCAGAGGTACATATTTTGGTCCTCACCATTGGCATCTCCTGTGCTGCAATGGTCATCCTGGTGGTGGTGGTGGTGATCTGGCGTCATTGGCGGAGGACGCAGCAAGACAAGACAAGGGAGGTGGGCAGGTGAGTTGCAGGGAGGGGCTGGCCTCCTGGGTGGCACTCTTTGGAGGCAGAGGGCTGTGCTGGTGGGTTGAAATGGGGCTCTGCTGAGGAGGAGCTGGCATGGGCTGAATTCACCCAGCAGAATCCAGAAGCCATGGAGAGCCCTGCCAATGGCTGAGTTGAGGCTGCCCAGCGGACTGATGTGGGCTAATCAGAAACAAGAGATTCCGTTGAATGGCCAGGAGGGAGGTGGCTCATTGTTGATCGACTCTGTGGGTGCTTTACATGTAAAGGGCAACATTTGGTCCCAATGTTCAAGGCAGGGCACCTCCCCCCTCAGCTTCCTGCAGCCTGACCCCCCCCCCCAAAGACCCCCTTGCCTCCCCTGGGTGGCTTGGTGGTAAAAGGCAGATGTGGCTGGACTCAGCAGTGATTTTGCAGCCGCCCCCAGCAGGAACAGAGAGACAGAGCACCCTCCCCAACACCCCTGAATGCAACCTGAGCCAGCAGTGGCCTCCTTAGCTCTCCTGCCCCATCTCCCAAAACAGCCCCTTCCCTGCCTCCTGGCCTGCAGTGGCCGCCATTCCTCTCTTCTCAAACAGGCCAGAGGAACTGAAGCTGAAGGAAGGCGGAGAGGAAAATGAGGCCCCTCTGCCGGGAGAGGGGACCCATCGGTCTTGGTAAGGATGCTGGGGATGGAGGGGCTTGACTGGCACCAGGCAGGAGCTGTAACCAGCTACTCCAGGACGGAGGTGGGAGGCTGAAGTTTCCTTTCCCTCTAAGAGAGACCAGGGATGGAGGGGCTGTTGCCACACCTGCCAGTCCAGCCGTTGGGGCCACTCAAGCTTCCTCACGGTTGGAGGCCTGGGCCAGCGCCTCCCCTGGGAGCCCCTCCCACAATAACTCCTGGCGTGCTTTTCTCTCCCAGATCCACCCGTGGATGCTGCGGCCTGCTGGAGTGGAGGTGGCAAAGGCCTTCAAGGAGAAGACCTCATGCATGCAGAGGGCCTGCAAAACCTCACCTTCTGCCCGCGTGACACCAAAGGACCGCCTAACCAGTCTTCTCCATATGCCCGAAGCAGCAGCCCTCCCCTGCCCACCTTGGTGACTGAAGACCTCAGGGCCACCTAGCTGGGGTCAGCAGAAGATCTGGTCAAGACAGGCCGGCCAGGCAGAGCTTGGGGACGAGGAACCGCTTTGCCAACTGTTCTGCTCTCTGGGCAGATGGCTAAGGGGGAGCCCCCGACCACTTAGAAAAGGCCTCCTCCTCTTCCAACAGGATCAAGCCCCTGTCTCTAGGGCCTGCGCTGCCTGGAGTAGCAGGAGCCCTGCCTGATTCTGTGCAGGCAGAGGATCTGCGAAAGGGAGAGAGGAACCTGCTGGGTGCAGCAATTCTGTCTCCTTTACGGCCCCCCAGCCCAGGCTGGCAGCACAAACCTCCTCCTTAAAACCAGGGTCTGCTTTCTCCTTCAGGAGGACTTGAGGGCCCTGGACAAACAAACAAAATATCTCTGACCACTGAGCCTCTTTTATGCAGCACCACTAGAGCAGCCCTGCCAGCAACTACCTCTAAAACTCACAGGCTTCAGACGTTAGAGGACTGTCCGCCGGATTCCTTACGGGCCACCCGTTCATATCCTTAGGTGACACACTTTCATACACTAATTTATTTAAAGAGTCTTGTTAAATTTTGTAAGCAAATGGAATATTTTATAATAAAGGTACAATTGCCTGGGATTAAAAGTGACTGTCATCTAGCCTTAATGCAATGTAGTATGGTACCCCATCCAGATCAATTGCACAATCCTTAAAAGTCAGAGGGCCCCAGAAGTGCGGATTCTGCAAACTGTGTGGATTCTGCAAAGATCCTGGGAGGAGCACAAAAAGAAGTTCCTGCCCAGGAGGAGAGCCAGGTGAACTTGGGGGTGGGGGGGTGGGGGATTATGGGGAAGTAGCCTGGAGTCTCCGGCAGTGTCTGCACTTGGGTTGGGAGGGAATGCTGCCTGTGCGGTGATCCCATTGCCTCTCCTGGGCCAAACTCCCTTGTCCTCCAATGGCCTCTGGAGCAAGGGCTCAGCGGGTGCAGTCAGCTGATCCTCATTCAAGGCTCTGGGACCTGAGGGCCTTCTGGCCAAACCCAGCCTGCCCCCTTTGGCAGAGAAGAAGAGAGCTCTGTTGCAGGCCAGTCTTCTTGAGGAAGGACCGAAAGGGCTGCCAGAGCCTCCTTTGCACATGAGGCTACTGGTGTCTCATTGATAAAAGAAAAATACCATTTCCCCTCCATGATGAAATTACACCACACATTTTTGCACAGAGAGGCTCCTGTTCTAAAACGCTCCTTTCCTTGGTCGGGTGACTGAGGTGATTCCTGGTTGGGCTGGGCGTTGCCTTCTGCAGATATTAATAAGAGTTGTTTGGTTCAGGTCGAGCAAGTCCTGGGTGGCCACGGCGGGCGGGGCCCAGGCAGCAAAGCAAGGTGAAGGCGAATACAGGTACAGCGCACGGGGCGCGAGTCTCCTCCAAGAGCTGCAGTACTTCTATTTCTTGCATCGGGTGGCTCCGTGTTTAATCTGCACCGACAGACGCGGAAGGCTGCTATTTTGCCAGCAACGGCTCTCCGAAGTTTCCGGGCATCCTGGCGCTTTCGCCCGCCTCTTTTAGTCAATTCACCCCCGGTCCCGGAGGGCGTTGGGAGGCGGCCTACGCGCCTCGAGCGGGGCCCGGCTTCCCACGGGGTCCCTGCTCTCTCTCTCTCTCGCCTTCCTGGCCAGAGGCGTCGCCTATGCCGGTTCCCCCGAACCTTCCCCGGAGGGGGGCGGCCACCCCGCCTTCCCACCCGCAGGGGCGGCGAAAGGCTGTCCGCAGCGGAGGCAGAGCTCCTCGGCGCAGGGCACGCCTCTTCCGGCTTCCCGGGCCGCCGGCCGGGCAGGTGAGGCTGGGCCCCAAAAGATGGGGCTGGAACGGAAGAAGCCCGGCGGAGCGGCCGCGCTGCCTCTTCTGCTCTTGGGTGAGCGAGGCTGCCGCACGGCGGGGACGGGAGACGGGAGGACGGGCAGCTGGGGAGGGATCGCCGGGGTCGCGCCGGAGGCCTCGGCCAGGGGCCGGCCGGCTGCCACCCAGGCCCGGAGGGCGGCGGGCCCAGGAAGGAGGCTTCGGGCGGGGGTTCGGCTTTCCCCGCGCTCCGGCCCCTTCCTCGCCAGGACGGGACTCCGAAGCCCCGCGGCGGCCGTCTGCTTTCCTTCCCGACGGGCTCCCGGAAAGCGCCTCCTCCCGTCCGGGTGCCGCCCGGAGACTGACCGGCGCTGCGGCTGTGCTTGCAGCGGTCGCCAGAGTCCACCTGCTGGAGATCCAGGCCGCTGCCCAGGTTCGCGCGTTTGTGGGCGAGCCGGTGACCCTTAAGTGCTGGTTCAAATCCTCCGCTCCAGTCTCCGAGAAGCTCACCGTCGACTGGACCTACCGGCCTCTCGCAGGGGGCAACTTGGAACCGGTGAGCTGCGGAGGTTTAAACGGTGGCCCTAAAGTGGGCCAGACCAGGGAGGGCTGATGAAAGGAGTCTGGAACCTCCCCCCCACACTTCTTCCTGGGGGAGCTGGCTGCTCTCGTCTCTTCTGCTCTCGGGTGCCTTACCCCTCTCCCACCCCCAGGTCCTCCACTACCAGTCCATTGCCTACCCAGCCAAGAGAGGGAGCTTCCGGGATAGAGTTTCTTGGGCTGGCGATGTGACCAAGTGGGACGCCTCAATTATGATCTGGAACCCAACCCTGGAGGATAACGGGACATTCACCTGTTCTGTGAAGAACCCCCCTGATGTGCAGCACAACATTCCCCAAACCCTGCTGACAGTCAGTCAGAGAGGTAAAGCAGAGGCCCAGGACAGGAGGGGGAGTATCCGGCGGACCCTGGGTTGCCACTGCCAGGCTTCCTGAAAGTCTGGGCCTCTTGGCCCAGGGTGGTGGTGGTGGTTCTGCCTGCCCTGCAGAATGTCTTCCAGTTTGGGCTGCCGTGGGTAGCAGAGGAGGCTGCCCTCATGCCTAACATTGGCGTTTGTGCTGGGGGAGGTGGGCCTGGGGGACTCTGGCTGGAGGGAGTTTTGCTCTGCCTGCCCCATCCTGCTCTGTTTTCAAAGGTGCCTCCTTCCAGCTGACCTCATCCGGACTGCTTTCCATCCTGGTCTTTCTTCCCTCTGGCATCGTGGTGGTTCTGCTGCTGGTTCGAATGAATCAGAAATCCAGGCTGATGAAAGCAAGGAGGCAGCTTGGTTACAAAAAGTCCTCCATTGAAGTCTCAGAAGAGTAAGAGCAATGGGGGCAGAGGTTGAAAGGGAGCATTGGCAAAGAAGAAGAAGAAGAAGAGGGGCTGGCATGGCCCCCAGCGCCTCTTAACGATGGCCCTCTCTCTGCTGCACCCCAGGCCGAGCTGCAGCTGAGAAGGAGGCCTCTGAGCCCCACTGGTGGGAGCGGAGGGGCCATTGGTTGGGCCGGGGGTTGAACTGGTTTCTTCGATGTCCTTTTTCTTTAGACCTGAGCAAAGAGGCTGCAGGGAGCGGCTGGTTAGCTGTTGTTTGCAGTGCCTGGTAAGCCAAAGGCCCATTAAGAGTGAAATCTTTTGCATTTTCCCCACATTATGGAAACGCTCATTCCTGCATCGTCTCACTGGGAAGGCAGCAGTTCAGCCTCATCCCTCTCCCTTGCATTCCTCTCATTCTTCCCCCCTGAGAACCAGCAGACGCTGAAGGCTGCTCATTGCAAAATGCCTAGACTGCCCTCAGAATGCCCTGGATGGTTGCTGAGCTCAAAAAGGTCACCCAACACCTGTGGGTCAAACACAATACATTGGGGGGGGGGGCTGTTTATATAGGAGATGCCAACGAGGTTCTGTGATTGGGGGTGAAGGGAGACTGCTGGAGATAGTGAGCTTATTGGCAGAGTAGAAAAGGCGGACGGAGAAAAGTCCTTTATCTCCCAGCAAATGTTGAAACTTAGAATGATACATAATCCTCGTTTCCCAGCTGCTCATTGCTCAGCAACTGTTTGAAGTTATGATGGTGCTGAAAAAAATAATTCAATTTATGACCATTAATGGCCTTCACGGAATCCCTGTCATACGACTTCCATTATGTTCAATACACAACCTGTGTGTGTGAACTGTTTCCCCCCTCGTGGTTTGGAAAGGAAGGGGTTACAAGAAAGTGAGCTAGCTGCTCTTCTACACATTGAAAGCAATGAAATCCCATTGGCAAAGGGATCCCTTCTTTTCCTCTTCTGCCCTCCATAGAGAGGAAGGGAAGAGATTTCGAAACTGTGGGCCACACCTGCGGCTCCCAGCCCTGGGTTGCCAGTAAAAATGTGAAATGTCTTGTCAGAAAGAAAAATCCAACCCATTTAGCCATGTCTTTGTTCAGTTGCAAAATGTAACAAAAATAAAATAAAAAACTTTTATAAAAAAGAAAGAATCAGAGCTGGTATTCAGCCAGTTCTGAGAGGTTCTGGAGAACCGATAGCGGGAAATTTACTGGCAAATAGGCTAGCCCTGCCCCCGCTGCTTCCCAGCTGACCTTCTTCCCTTGCCCGGCACAGGAGAGCAGAGCTGGGGAGCTGGCGAGTGGGGAGGGAAGGGGGATTTTGTAGTAACCTCCCCCTGCCACGCCCACAAAGCCACGCCCACCGAACCGGTAGTAAAAAATGTTGAATCCCACCACTGATCAGGATGTTACTTGAAATGCAGCCAGTATGCAAGATCCCCTGCGGGAGAATCCCACCCGCCAAAGGTCTAGGCACAGCTGGCGAGAAGGATGATGCCCCATAGGACGGGTGCCACAGCAGAGAAGGCTCTGCTGCTGAGTTCCATAAGAGGAACTACTTAGCGGATGGGACCTGCCAGACCTGATGGGATGAGAAGATTTACAGGTAGTCCTCGATTTAGGACCACAATTGAGGCCAAATTTCATGTTGCTAAGCGAGACATTTAAGTGAATTTGCCCCATTTTATGACCTTTCTTGCCACAGTTGTTAAATTAATCACTGCAATTGTTAAATCAGTGACCTGGTTATTGAGTGAACGTGGCTTCCCCATTGACTTTGCTGGTCAGAAAGTTTCAAAAGGTGACCAATGGACCCCCGGTTATTTCAGCTGCCATAAATATGAACCAGTTGCCAAGCATTCAAATTTTGATCAAGTGACCATGGGGATGCTTCCGCAGTCATAAGTGTGAAAAGTGGCCATAAGCTACTTTTTTCAGTGCCACTGTAACTCTAAACAGTCACTAAATGAACTGTTGTAAGTAGAGGACTATTTGTGATCAGTGAGAGGCATCCCTCAGACAGATCCAGAACAAGGGAAGAGGCCTTCCGTAGACAAAGCTTCCCTCTGAGGTTTGCCAGCAGCAGGAAGAGTCACAGCCACAACACTTTCAGTGGTGCAAAACAGGGCCGGGCTCTTCATAGGCCTTTTAGTCCAAGGGGCATTTCTTGGGCATCAGGCCAATTGCGGGCAAGAGGGATGAGCCCGCCAGCCTTTGCTTGTGCTGCTTGTACCTGTTTGAACTGAATGCTGGCAGGGGAGACCTGCAGGTTGCTCGCATTATTTGGGGTGGGGGGTGGGGGGTGGCTGTCCTCTGCAGTGGGGGGAGGGAGTGATAGTTTTCTTGCTGGGATCTTCACCCCCACTTTGGGCCTGAGCCAGCAGAGCTTGTGGCCCAAGTGGCTGAGCTGAGTGAAGGGCAGGTGGGTCTCCTCGGCTCCCTTCCTGACCACTATTCCTTACTTCCCATTTAGGACACCGACGAGGAGGAGGAACCGTACTGACACACACACACAGAGAGAAAGAGGCCTTGGCAGCGCCACCAAGATCCAGCTCAGAAAGTCTTTGCTTAGAGTAAAATGACCGGATTTCTTTCCAGTCTAGGAATTAGCCTGATTTAATATTTTCTCTTTTCTTGCCTTTCTCTTGCCCTGTGAATAGGCCTGGAAAAGGGGCAGTGGAGGGTCTATCTGGCAGCCAGGCTCTTGGTGGCTGCTCCTCCTCCTCCTCCTCCTCCTCCTCCTCCTCCTTCTTCTTCATGAGCTTCTGGCTCATGAAATGTGAGTACAGTCCCAAGCTCTTCCCTAGGATCTTTGTCCTGAGAAACCACCCATGTAGTTGGTGAGGGTGAAGAATAACTTAGAGACACAGGATTGGGCTCTTTGTGGTTTCCCCTGCAGGCACTGAATGTTGGCCACTTCAGTCTGGCCATTGCTGGATACAAGCCCATGTCTACAGCAGCTGCAAGGCTCCTCCATATATTTCTGGATCTGGGCCTCCTGTGGAAAGAGGGCCAAGCCTCCTGAGCCTCCAGCTGGTTGTGTGGAGCTCTGTGGCCTTAATGTGGAAATGCGTGAACCGGCTGAAGCTAAATGTTCAGACTGTCCCCAACTCTAACAGTTGGGAAATCTGGCCTTGGGGCCTTCGCCTGCAGATCCACCCTCCCTCCCTTTCCTTCCTTGGTCTGCTTTCCTGTGCAGAAAGCTGCTCCTTTCACAACCAATAAAATGCCTTGGGCCAACTCCATCTATTCTTGGTCTTTTTGGTTTGGGGGGGAGCAGGGGGGGGGATTGGGAAAAGCACACACCTGCCTTCCCTGCTTTTGGTTTTGGACAGCACCTAACTGGACTGTGGGGGGGGGGAAGGGCTGCTGAAGATTGAATGACCACCTAGCCCGGAAGGATGAAAGACCAGGATCCTGCTGCCACCCAAACGCCACAAATCCTGGCAGATAATGAAGGAAAGCAAGGGCTTTCTCCAGTTTACCACTGAGAGCCCGAGTGTTCTTTTCCTTCAAGGGAGGGGCCACCTGTGGCATCCTCTCTGGCTCAGTGGGCAGGGCCAGTCACACCTGGCCCCTTTGGAGCCACTTCTGAACTCCCAAGTACTGCTGCGGCTGATGATGGCCATCATCATCATCATCATCATCATCCATCTCCGAATGTTGTTCTGCCCTTGGGATCTGCCAGGTCAGGCCACTTGTGCAAATGTGGCTTCCAAATGTGGAATGAACCAGGGGAATCAAGCAGATAGGACCACGTTCCTCCTATGGGGATGGGGGAGAGGCTGCAATTCCGTTCTTGAAATATCAGGAGTGAGAATATGCTGTCTTGCTGGAGGGGTTCCCTGGAGAGCAGCAGACGGTTTGGTGAAGGTCCCCTGTTTTAACATGGAGGGTCAAAAGGTTTTGGGGTCAAGAGTCTCTCTGCTGGGCTGTGGCTGCCACAGGGTGGACGTTCCGTGCTTCTGTGTCACCTTAATGAGGATTTAAGTTCTGCGCAAGCTTAGAGCGGTTATGAGGCTGAAGTTCTGGAATTTACTCAGAGTCATTAGAACAGTCTTTACATGCAGTAGCAATAACTGCTAAAGGTGCTGCAGTAGTAATGCGAGTGGCCCCAGTTACCTTCTTGGCTCTTATTTTGGTGAGAAATGATTGTCATTCCCTTCGCCTTTAAGAGAATCAACAATTCTATTTCTAGTTTTTGCAGGCACTTGGAGACGTCCCAACAATCTGGAGGGCAGTTTCTTGAGATGCCAGCTTGACCTTCTGCTCCAAAGGCAGTGAAAGGCCTGGCAGCCTGTCTGACCAGCCCTCCCTGCAAGTGGATTCCAGGCGTGAAATGCTAGAGATGCCTGGAAGGAGGAGACAGGTGGAAACCAAGGACATGACTGTTGGCTCTATGCCATGGCAGCAGGGCACTGGCTGAGCATGTCTCGGGCCTTGTTTAAGGACACCCATTCCTTGTTGAGGAGCAGCTTGGAATCAGATGCTGGCACTCTGAATTCTAAGGAGAGGATGTGGTGGTGCCTTGCCAGCTGATCTAGGGTTTAACTGAATCTGTAAACTCTTGAAGTTTTGTGTGTGTGTGTGTGTGTGTGTGTGTGTGATGATCTCCAGCCTACATGGGCTGCTTCCTTGCCTCTCCCATCTTGTGCAACTGCAGTGAAGGGAGGAGGGACTGGATTCAGCCGTTCACAATGAGGGTGGGGGATGGAGGGCCCCTTGGATTCCTGTCTCCTTAAGAAGCTGTACTTGACCCAGCCGGAGGAAAGAACTTTTGGTCAGTCTCGGACTTGCTAGGGGAAACTGCTGCTAAGGTGAGGGGGGCAGCAGTTCCAGGAAGTCCTGGGTGAAGAGAATCCTCTGTCTTCTTTCCAGCCTGGAGGAGTCCAGGGGCCTGTTTTGCTTGCCCTGTTGGAAAGGGAGTGGTGGTGGAGGGCTAGATCCCATCCAACTTGGCGGATCTCTCTTGAAGCTCAATGGCCCAGACCACAGACAGGCGCCTGCTCTTGACAAAGGCCCTTGACAAAGGCCCGTAGAGAAGCTCAGGGGGCAAGATCGGTGCTGCCGTTGGCTCCCTACCTCTGGGGTTGGAAGAAAAGTAGGCCAGGACTCGGACTGGCCCTGCTTCCTCTCGCCCCCAGAGGGTCTCCTTCGGGCTCTCTCCCGGGATACCAAGAGGAAGGACATGCGCTTTGGAAGGCAGAGCACGAAGTTCGCCTGGCGTAGCTCGGGAGGCTCCCGTCTGGGCCCTCAACTTTTGTCTGCCAGGTGAGAAACGGCGGTGGCGGGAGCGTCGCCCGATGCCGTTTATGCAGCCTCCTGCAAGAGTCGAGGGCAGAAAGGAAAGCGCCGAGCGGCTCCTGCAGCACAACGGACAGCGACGCCGCAGAAACCGAGCCGCCGCAGAGTCCGACTGCTCCGGCGGCGCTGCGCCGACCCCACCCGCGCCTTTAAAAAAGCCACCCCGGGGCAGAAGGGAGGCCCCCTCCTCCCCTTCCCCGCATGGCCTCCCGAGAGCGCAGCCAGCCGGCGCGGGGCAGGGGGGAGAGCGCGTGGGGGCAGCTCCTCGCCGGAGCCTGGGCAGAGAGCCCGCTGCAATCTCTTGTTTCGCGTCTCCACCCGCCCAAGTTTGCTAACAGGAGCAATTGCGCTCGCAGCTGATTGTCTCTGGAGGTGTGGCGCAAATTGCGCGGCATCTTGAGCAAAGGAGCTCCCAGGAACGGACTTTGTACGGCTCCTCTTTTCTCGGTGTGCGCGAGAAGTTACTACCCACCACTCTTTCCATGGCAACCGTAGGAGCTGCTACTTGGGGGGCGGGGGAGGGCGACTGTGTATACTCCTTGGATTATATGCAACGGTTCCAGGCGAGGGGAGGGGGGAATAACCCACTGAGACGAAGACCGACGAAGGGGATCGTTCCCGCTGACCCTCAGGGAAGACTCCCCGCCCCCGCACACCCAGTTCCAGCCCAAACCTCTGCAAGCAACTACGGCCAACGCGCTGCCCCCAGCCCCAGGAGCTGCGGCGTTTCCCGCCTGCTTTTCTCCTGGAATCAGCAATTGAGGCCGAAGAGCTGCGGTCCGCAGGAGAATCGCGTCGAGGGCCACCCGCCCGCTTGTTCTTAGCCGCAGCCCTTTCCCGCCCTCCCGAATCCTTCTTGCTATCCGCCAACCAAAGACTTTTTCTGCCCCCCGATTTTTGCCAGCGCTGGTGGCGTCGGCAGCAACAAGAGTGGCCGCCGCCCCTCCCTCCAGCCGGCCATCTTGGAGCCAAACCCCGCCGCTGCCCAAGGACGATGAGCGCTCCGGAGGGACGGACGGGCACTTGACCTCCGCCCTGTCCAGCTGCTGAGCCCCCGCGCCGCCGCCCTTCAGGATGAGCCCCGCCAGTCCGGCGCTGCAGCTGCTGCTGCTGCTCTTCCCGCTGGGTAAGCGCCGCGGGGATCGGGGGGGTGGGGGAGGCAGGATTCCGAACTCCGACAATTGGGGGGGGGCAGAGAACACTTGACGACGAGCCGCCCCCTCCACATGCGCCGCCAGAGGCTGGCCGGCATAGTGGTCGGAGGGGGAGTCGTCGGAGAAGTGGGGGGCAGGGGTGGGGCTATCAAGGTAACCCGAGTTGCCTTCCTGCTTCGGCTGCTTCGGCTGCTCCTCCTAGATAGTGGGGGAAGGGCGGCTTGGGTAGTGGACCAGAGGGGACCCCCCCCCCTCTCCTCCCTTCTGTGCCTTAAGCAAAGGCCGGGCATGATGTGAACCCATGTGGGAATACTGCCCCCCCCCTGCCCTGAGTGAATTCAGCCTCCTGTCCAGCTGCTGCTCCTGCAGGGGGGGATTCAGCAGCTGCTTCTGGCTGGCCAAGCCGATCCCTCTCCGTGCGCTCCCGCGAGGCCGCGAAGGAAATGCCAACTTCAGCTGCAATTAGATCTGCCGAGCAGAGCTGGAGAACCGACGCCCTCTCCAATAGCTGCAGAGTAGGCTGGTCTTAGAGCCCCGGAGTCCAGCTCTGCTGCTGGGTGCAGCCTGGGCATCTGGTCAGGGTGCTTGGTGAGCTGTGCGCCGGTGCTGTGAACGACAGAAGCAGAGCAGTTCTCTGCAGATCCAGCAGTGGGACCCCATTGAAGGAAGAGCAGAGAGATCTGCCAGGAATCCCCAGAGCTGAATGGCTAGAACCTGCGGCTAAGCTTACTCTGGCCCTGCTCTGATCAGGCCCCTCAGTTCTTGGGATCTGCCCACTTTTCCTGCCTTCCTCAAGAATGAACCCCCAAAAGCTGTCCTCTCTCTATCCCCCTGGTGTCGCTTCCACCCAGGGCGCAGGGGATTCAGGTCAGGACGTCCCCCCACCCTCAGCTGCCAATTTGGGGGTCTAAGGGCCTCTTGCAGAGGGGAAAGGACACCTCCAAGCCAAAGGCAGGAGACCTCTTGGCCCCAGTGCAGGGCTGAGGAGACCCTTGCACTCTCCTCCTGCCTTAGCCTGCCCAGAGATCCAGGATCCGTGGTCTTCCTTTCCATCCTCTGGGGATGCTCCTAGGATTCCTTCTGCTGCTTTGGTCCTGGGTGCTGGGGGGGCTTTGGGCAAGAGTCCCTTTCTGGGATTGGGAGGGGAGCCCAGCCGAGAACTCATCTCCACCTGCATGAAGGGAAAGAAGGGCTGCATTGCCCAGCACACCAGCCTTCCCCAGGACTCCCCCCCCCCACTCAAAGCCCATTGGCTGACATTCCCATCATTCTTGCTCTTAGAGCACAGAGAAGGCATCTCTCTCTCCCCTGAAGAAGGATGTAACTGCCAGGAGGTCTGGGAGCCTTCCAAGGTTGGCAACCATATACGCCCAAGGTAGAAAACGCAGCCGGACATGGCAATGCCGGCTCTGTGGTGTCTGCGGTTTCTATACTGTTGGAAGGAACACCCCAGTGCCCCCCCCCCCCGTTGGAAGGGCCTGCAGTTTGTCTTAGTGCAAACAGGAGTAACAGGAGGGGGGGGGGCTCTTCTCTCCTTGCTAGCACTGAACACGCTGGGCATGGAGATGACGGCCGTAACCCCCGTCTATGCGCTGAACGGCTCTTCCATCCGCCTCACCTGCACATTCAATTCATGCTACCAGGTAGACAAAAAGCAGTTCTCCATGAACTGGACCTACCAAACCTGTCAGAACTGCACCGAAGAGATGGTGAGCATCTGGAGGCGGGGGGGGGGGGGGGGGGGGGGCTGGGCAATCCTTCTGCTCCACATTTGAATGCTGCCTGAGCTTCTCTGTGAAGGACTCTGGGCCTGTCATCTGTGCCAGGAGGAGGGGAGCCAGTGGGCAACATCTGTTTCCTCACCCTCCACAGCAGAAACTCTGGGCTTTGCAGCATTTGGGTGGGTGGGCAGGCGGGGAGGGGGACCGTGGACCATGGACTGTGTGACCCTTGTCCAAATTTCCTAAGCCCCCTGCCTTTGCTCCCTCCCATCCTGCCACCACCGCCAGGAATTCCAGAGAGGAGGCCGGGCTGGGGCTTGGGGTGCTCCCAAAGACCCTCAATTCTTCTGACTCTCTGACTCTCTCTCTCCCCTACCCTCCACTCCAGTTCTTGCAGTTTAAGCTGAAAGTGGTTCCTGTGGAGCTGAAGCGCTTTGAGGATCGTGTGGAGTTTACGGGGAACCCCACCAAGAACGATGTGTCCTTCACCCTCCACAACGTGCAGCTGGAGGACGCAGGGCTGTACAACTGCTACGTGATGAACCCGCCTGACCGGCACAAGGGCCACTTCCAGATCAGCCTCCAGGTTCTCACCGAAGGTCAGGCCAGGGTCCCACACCCTTCTCTTCTTGCTTGCTCCCTTTGGTGGAAGGGACACGGGGGGGGGGGGGCTCTTCTCTGCTTTCCCCATTGTTCTGGGAAAGGGAAGCTCCCTCTAGGGCCAAGAGGCCTCTCCTGCCCATGCTGGGGGTACATCCCCAGTGCTGCCCCTTGCCTGATGCTGGGCTTTTCTTTGCAGAGCCCCCAGAGCGGGACTCCACTGTGGCCGTGATTGTGGGTGCCACTGTGGGAGGCTTCCTGGCTGTGGTGATCCTGGCCTTGGTCATTGTCAAGTGTGTCCGGCGCAAGAAGCAGCAGAGGCTCAACACGGATGACCAGAAGACCGAAGAAGAGGGCAAGACAGATGGGGAAGGGAACCCGGAGGAAGGCATGAAGTAGGGGGGGGAGCCTCTCCCCCTGGCTGGCCTCCTCCTTGTCCCTGGCCTCTTTTCTCCCACTTTGGACTTTCTCCAAAGCAAAGAGCTCCACCCAAAATTTCAGAAGGACTGGGCTGCTTTCTCTCCCCCTCTTCACCCCTGGGCTCTTGGGCCAGAGCCCAGCAGGGGCTGCCTGCCTGCCACTAGGGGGATTTTATTGTGGGGGGGTAATTTGCTGAAACTGAAAGCTGCCTGGGGTGAGTCTGCATTCCTGCCCCAGGTGGGTGGACTGAGGGAGCCCTGTTTTGTGTCCCTGGCAGGAAGGCCACCCCTCCCCCACCCCTGCTGCCTCAATGGCAAGTCCTGGGGAGGCGAAAGCTCTTCCCCTTTGCTCCTGGAGCACTGGGATCCCTACTGGAAGGGGCCCCAGAGGAGGCCGAAGGCTTAGGAGCTGATGAGGACTCACAGCTCTGTGGCAGAGAGAAGATCTGTGCACCCCACGGCCAAGCAGGATTTCCTCTCCAAAGTAGAGGCTGCCATTTCTCACTTCCCACCTTGAACACCAAGCACAATTCACCACTGCCACGAGAATTCACTGCCAGAAGTCAGCAGCCATCTCTCTTGCAGGCCAGCACTGCACGCACACACACACACACACACACACACACACACACACATCGTGCAAACCCACTGCAGGGCTGTTTGGAAGGAATGCTGTTGACCTCGCACCCCTCTTCTCATGAAAAAACCCGAAGGTTTTCTGCCTGGCAGGTAGAAGGTGTGTGCCAGTTGAGGGGAGCAAGGGAAGGATGGAAGGAAGGAAGGAAGGAAGGAAGGAAGGAAGGAAGGAAGGAAGGAAGGTAGGAAGGTAGGTTGTCTGTTTGGGGCTTAGTGGAAGAGTTTCCGCCCAGACCCACTGCAGCCAACTGGTCTTTGCTTTCTCTGCTCACACAGTTAGAATCCCCAAGCAAGAAGGGCCCTGGAGGCCTCCATTCCCCCCACCTCCCTGCCACATGACCCCCTCCTGGGATTCTCCACTCAGCAGCTCCTGAACTGGCCTTTACTTCTGGGCACGAGGCTCCTTTCCTAGGATATTCCCCTGGGGGGTGAGAGCAAGTAATTCCCCGGTTGGCTTGTGACTGTGCTGTTTTTGGCTCTGCTGCTTCTCCTTGAAATTGCACTTTGCTGTCTGCTGATTGCAACAACCCCCCCCCCTCTTTCTGTCATGTTCCCAACACCTGCCCTCGGCTGAGATGGGTTATGCAACCTTTCTGTCCTTATTTTGCGAAATCTGCAATTCAGATTCCTCAGCGTCAGCCTGAAAAGTTTTCATTGCTCTTTTTGTAAGTGTAGAATTGAGTTGGCCTCCATTTGCACGGACAGTGACTTTCTGTGCTGCGCTGGAAATCAATGTTTCTTCTCCTGGGTCTGCTCAGGACATCCAACGGTCAGATGAAATAAAGCAGAGCTTGCCTCTCACCACAGGCAGACCTCTGCTTCTTTCCCTGGAGGGTGGGCGCCTGGTGTACGTGTTCTCTGCTCCCCCCCCCAACACACCCCAGGAGCCTTCTTCCCCAGTTGCTCCTTCTTGTGAGAGGGGGGGGGGGAGGTTGCCTTTCCCTTTCCCCAGGCTCTCCACTGGGCCAGGTGGATTCAAAGCCAGCGAATCTCAAGGGGGCTAAGAAATTGGAAGTGGCTTTGGCTGTGGGGTGGGACTCTTAGGCACTTAGGATCAAGGACCTGAACCTCCGACTTTGAATGGAGGGTCTAAAAGACTCCCACCCCCACACCCTCCACTTTATAGCAGGTTAAGTAGTTTGGGGTTCAGTACTTACACAACTCTTGAAAGTCTTTCGATGGGGAAACCGTCTCCGGGAGCCAGCACTGCAGCATTGGGGAGGCTGGCTGTTGGCCTTCCTGGCCTCTTCGTCCGGCTCTCCCTCCCCCTCCCCCTCGAGAAAGGGACTGATGCATCTCCCTTCACAAGAGGCACCTTGGGCCAAGGTGAGAGACTGAGCCCTGTGGCCTCCCTCCATTTCGGCTCCTTTTCTTGGCCAGGAGGCTGGGAAGGTTTCTTTCCCTTTCAGCCCCCTGCGAGGTCAGAGAATCCCTCACCCTTTGGGTGAGCAGAACTGCTGTCCCACATGGAGGTGAAGGAGGCTCTCAGAAGCGCCTGGTCTCAGCTGTGACCCTGAAAATCCACAGCCCCAGTACGTGGGTGGGTCGGTAGTGCTAGGAAAGAAAGCCGGACTCCCAGGACCTGCTACAGACTCCAACCTAATTGGTCGGATAGCTGGCCGCCCCAGAGGACGGGAGGCGGCTGGGCCCCGCTCCTTCTTTTCCTCTCTTCTTTCTGCTGGTGCGCCTGACTCTCTGTTCCTCCATCCCGCCGCCGGGCCGAGATGCGATCAGAAGGCCGGAAAGGAAAGAAACGGGGCCAAGCCTCTCCCTCCCTCGGACTGTCCAGCGATCCTTGCTGGAGTTATAAAGCACCTCTGGCCGGCCGAGAGGGGACGAAAGCTGCGGGATTCTTAGCTCCCTCTTGGGCAGGCCAGGGTCGGATCAAGCGAGAGATACCACCTCTCTGCCGCGCTTCTTAGGCGCCTAGTGGGCGGCGGCCTCTTTTCTGGAGGGGGCCAGGTCTCCGTTGCAAAACTTCGGAGGAGCAGGAGGCAGACGCGGCCATCAGGTTTGCAGTCCGGGTGCGGGAGATCTCGGCAGGGCGAGAGCCGCTGCGGCTACTGACTCCTTCGGCCGGGAAGACCGGGTGTCCCTCGGGAGTCTGCGAGCATCTCCTCTGGGCGACCGGAGAGAGCAGCCGCGATGCGCTTCTCAGCCTCCCTTGAGGGGCTTCTGAGCAGGGCGGGTGCGCGCGCGCCGGACCCCTTCTGGTCGGGAGAAACGATAAAAGTTCCCTGCCCCGACTCTCCTCCTCTCCTGCCCTCCAGAAACGCGGACCGTCTCCTGACCTGAAGGAGCCCGCTTTCTTGCCCGGTGCAGAACTCGGCAGCGCCCTCGAGGAAGCCTGCCTGGCTGTCCCTGAAACTTTCCCGCGCGTGGGTTAGGACAGCGGGAAGAGGCCCTTCGAGGCTTCCTGCGGGAGGGGTGGAAGCGGTGCCGCGAGTGCGGAGCAGCCGGCGGAGGGGAGGCTGCAGCAGCAGAAGACGGCTCAAACGGGAGCTGGGCGTCCCAGGGCAGAGGACGTCCGCAGAGGTTCTTGGGCTCTGTAAAACGCCGGGTCCTCCTCCTCCTCCTCCTCCTCCTCGGTGTCCTCTGGAGAGATCCCCCCCCCCCGCGGAGGCGGAGAAACCCAACTCCTCCGCCTGGACAGCAACTTGAAACCCAAGGACGCGCAGTTCTTCCGGGATGCCCGGCTTTCCGCCTCCCGCGAAGGGAAGATTGCGAAGCCAGCAGCTTGCTTCGCGCCAGCTGGGCGCGCTCCCGGGTCCTTCTCCTTTTGCGCCCGAGGAACAAGCGGCGAGAATGTGGGGGCACAAGCGGGGCATGAGGCCGGCCGCACCCGCGCACCCGCGAAGGCGGAGACGGGGTGAGAGAGGATCGCCTTAGCGGCCAGAGAGCGCCGCGTGCCCCTCCCCGTCCTGCCAGGGTCCGATCGGGCTCAGGGAAGCCGCCGGGTTTCCTCGGTGAAGCCCTTGGCAGGAATTCGCCGGCGCCGGGTCGGAGGGGCTCCTGCTGCAACTACGCTGCTTCGCAGAGACGCAAAAAGATTTACGGGGCCGGTAGTTGTGAGGCCTTGGGGCTAAACTGCCTCCTCCCGGCGGAAACGAACATAGGAGCGTCGGAGAAACGGACCAAGCTGGGCTGCTGCGGCCCCGGGGAACCAAGCTCCTCCGGCGCGCGCTGGGATTCCTCTCCGGTGCTCGTTCTTTGAGCACTGAGGCTCGCTGGCACCAACCAAACTCCCCTTTGCACGGAGAGCGCGAATGCCTCCCCTGAAGAGTCCTGGCCAGCTCCTGGCTGAAGTCCAGCCAGGCCCTCAATGGGCCTCGGTTCTTGGCCTGGCGCCCCTGACTTTCTGCAATGGTCACCCGCAACAGAGGCCTGGAAAAAGTATTCCCCTCCCCCCCCTGCAATAGGAGCTGCTCCCCCCTCCCCCCCCCAGGCTGCTGCCCGGAATTTCTGGCACCTTTACAGCTTCTTTTTCTTTTTTCTTTTTCTTTTATCTTTCATTGCACAATCCCTGAGTCATGATTCTCTGGGAGCTTCAGAAGCTGCCCCTCCTGCAGCATCTCTCCACCTGCCACATCAGCAGAAGCTAGCCCAAGTGGCTCAGGATGCCCCCAAGACCGGCATCCTCTGCCCTCCCACTTCAGCCAGGAGCTTTTCCTTTCTTCTTCCCCCCATCTCTCCCCCCTTTCTATGCCACACCAGAAGGAACTCCCTGCGGTGGGGGGGGGTGCCTAGTTTGGGTGGCGTTGCTCTGGCACAAGCTAGGCTGAGGGTCGCTGTACTGAAACGGCCGCCGGCTGCTTCCCAGAGAGTGGGATGTTGGAGCCCCATCACCTCCTGCATCCCTGAACTGTGAATTCCTTCCCGAGATGCCTGAAGCAGGCTTGGACTTGGAGGACACAGGAAGTGTTGGTGGGAGAGGCCTGTCCCTAAAGCCAGCCCAGCTAAATTGGCAGCAAGATTCCAGCTCCCCGTAAGGGAAAGTAGCCTTTCCTTGATCAGCACGAAATCTTCCCTCCTGCCGCTTCAGCAGTGACTCCACCTTTGCCTGTGAGAAAGAATCTTCTCTCTGGCCACCCCTCGCCTGATTTCCCTGCTGCCCTTCCATCCTCGGCACTAACGGGTTCGAGCCACCGCCTATCTAACCATCCCAACCCCCCTGTAACCACTGGAGAGAAGTTAGCTTGCCCGCTGCGCAGGGCTTCCTTCCAATTCTACGAAACAGATAAAGGTACAGTCACGCCTACCCCTGGGAGGAATTTTCGCCCCAAAAACCTTCCCTTGGCTATCTTGCTTGGAAGTTCCTAAGGCCTAATTCTGCCAACAGAAAGTTGGTGGGACCGACTGTGGAAAGACTCCGTCCCTGTCGGGGTAAGTACAAGGCAACGAACGTGGGAGGGTTTGATGCGCCTGCTCCAGCCGTCTTTCCGACCTTCGGGGAGGACGGCGCTGCTCCCCGGTCCCGGGGTGACGAAGCTGCGCGCTCCCTCCGCGCCTCCGCGGGGGGCCTGGCATCACCGCGGAGGCGGTTCCGGGAGTGTCCGCCTCCGCCTCTCGCTGCCTTTTAGGCTGCCGGCTGCTGGAAGGGGCGGCCCGTGCGCGGAGCCCGAAGAGGCAACTGCGGCGGTCGGTGGCTAAAGCAACTTCGGCAGTCGGAGACTGCGGCGTCAACGGGAGAGGAGAGAGGCGGCCGAGTAGTTGCCGAGATGGCCGTGGGCTGGCTGGGAGTCGTCTTGCTGGGTAAGCCGCTCGGAGCTTCGGGGAACCGTCGGTCTCCTGGGGGCCCAGCCAACTGGCCGGTCCGCGGTCACCTAACAGGGCGCGTGACTCGGACAGAAATGGGGGAACATCTGCCGTCCCCTTTCCGCTGGCGCGCGCCGCAACTGCAGTTCCCTTGGCCCTATCCCGCCGCGGCTCGCCTGCCGTCTCTGCGGAGCGAGGGTGGGGGTGGGAAGCAGGATAGGGGAAGCGCAGGACCGCCGTTTCCTCCCGCATTTGCTGTAGCGCGTTGGAGACTTTTTACTCCCACTGGCAGCCACTTCTGCGTGCCCCCCCTCCCCTCCCCGGAGGACTTTTGAAAGATCCGAGCAGAATCCTAGCCGACGCCCCCCCTGGAGTAAACACGACCTCGCTGTAAGAAGTTTGCTTCGGCTCCAAGAAGCCTCTTTTACACGGAAAGTTTCCTTCTTCAAACTGGGTGAGGGGAGGGAGGGGAATCTGCGGGTTGCTCTGAGGGGTTCAGAGAAGAGGATCCGAGGCCCCTTCCCTTCCCGCTCTCTACCGCTGATGCTGTTTCCTTGACCTGGACTGTGAGCGTCCCATCAAGACCCCTGAACAAGTCAGAAGGGTCTCAATCTTTCTCTGGAGCAGTGGCACACAATGGCATTCAGGAGAATCAGGCGGACCCCCTTTAAATGAATTCTGCCCCCTATAGAGAGTGCAATTCTAACTGAACTCCTGCAAAAAGAAAAAAAACCCCACTCTGCTAATGTTAGCAAGGTCAGTCCCCAGTTATTTTGTTTTCTGAATGGCAAATACCTGTAGTAAAATAATGTTGTAGTGCCCGATAAATATTTTGTAATAAACTTTAATTACAAAGCCTCCTCCTCCCTCCCATTCTCCTCCCTGGGCCAGTTGTGTAAGAAGCCCCCCTTTAGGGCCTGGCAATTGCTCCGTCCCAGACAAACCAGAGCCTCCCGTGTTGGCTTGATGCCACTTAAAGGTCTGGCACCTTGCAGAGGCTTGTTCCATTCAAATCCCAGTCAATTCCTTCACTTTACCTGCATGTGGACTAAAACTATTCAGAGCTCCGTGGCTTTGCAGACTCTTCGGTGCTGTGGGGAGCAGGCTGGATGGCTTTCTGAGCAAGGACCAGCCCTGGGCTGGTGCCTCCCAACAGTGGCTGCCAGAGGAGGCTGAACCCACTGGAAAGCTGAGCCAGAGGTGGAGAGGCTCTTGGCCGCGGGAGAAGCAGCGGCTAAGCCTGCTTTTGTAAGTGAAGGCTTCCCCTTGAGTCTTCCTTGACACACCAGGTCTATCCATGGTGATGCGCCCGAGTTGCTCTGTGGTCAGGGTCCCTTTGGGGCAGAAACAGAAGAACTGCCATTGGCTCAGAGAGTGAGATGGGGGGAGGAGTCTATATTCCTTTTGTGCCTTTCTTCCAAGAGTTGAAAACAGCTTCCCCGTCTCTCTTCGTCCAGGCTATTCCCGTAGTAGCTACCTCCTGGGGAGAACGGAAATAACATGTCCAAGGTTACTCAGGGGGTTTCTATGGCTGAGAGAGGATTTGAACCTGGGTCTGCCCTTCCCAACTGACCCCATGGTCTCCCTTCCCTGGGCATGTTGTTTCTGGATCCCAGGCAAGGACGGGGTGGGTTCACCGTGTGCCCAAGTGCTTATGATCAGCAGGCAGGAGCAGCGGCTGGTGGTCAGCTGCCATTCTCCCCAAGCCAGGTGGACAAGTGCTTAGGAAGGGGATTCTTCCAGGGCACCCTCACTTGTGATCATGCCACGGACAAGTTGAGTTCAAGACACACAGCAACCCAACGCCTGGAGTTGGGACGGCACCCATCTCGGACCATGGTCCCAAGTCCCTTTGTCATTGGGATGACGTGGCCATCCAGTCCTGCCAAGAACTGGGCTCCCTTGTAGACATATAAGGAAGCTGGGAGGAGATGCTGGAAGAGAATTTGAGAAGGAGCTAAGCTCTTGAGTGTCCTTGAGTCATGAAAGAACTCTTGCACAGCTGACTCTTCACTGTACACAGACAGACAGACAGACAGACACACACACACACACACTGCACCTGTCTGCTCCAGGAACTCTGCTCTTCCTCCACTTCACGGATTCCGACAATTGCCCTTGGCCAAGTTTCAGAGAGCACAACATAAAGAAGCCTTTTTTAGGCAACACAGACATCTTCACACAGACATTTGAACTGGGAATCAGAGCTGAAATTGCAACTGGGTCCCCTAACCTACTTCATACAAACTGCCAATTTGTTTTAGCTGGTCTAGCATGTTCCGTGAACTTAGTCTGTACGTTAAGCTGCAAAGAGGGGGGAAAGTGGCCTATTGGAGAACTTTGACCAGTCACCATTTTCAAAGAGCACCATAACTCCATTATTGGCTTGCAAGAGGTAGGGCCATCCTTCCTTTCGGATAATTCTGTTTGGTTGATGGCATCCTTGGAAGACACACTTTGGCTGAATCAGGACCTTCTCAGCATTCCGCTCAATTTGCCCAATTGTAGCATCTTCAGTTGAGGGTGTAGAACAGGGCTGTCAAAC